ACTGCCTTCCGATGGCAGCCAGGTCTTTAGGGCAAGAAGGGCCAAGTACACCCTGGCCTCATAAGTATCCCTGAGGTTGACATGAAACAGAGAGCAAAATAAAAATTGTTTCCAAAATTGTTTCCAAAAAAACCATTGTGAATGATAATGTTAATACATCAGGTAGCCCATGCACTAACATACTCATAGGATGTCAATTCTGGCATCAAGCTCCTTGAGTATTTCCATCTTGTGAATTTTGTCCTGGTGTCTGCTCTTTTGCAAATATTTCATTTGGAGTGACAGATTTCACTTGAAGTGAAAGATGCTATACTTCCCAGGGAAAAGATGACTTTACTGCTAGCCTCTTGAAACACCAAGAGAAAGGGGATCTGCCCAGCCAGGAGAGGAAGCAGGGCGGCTCACCATGAAAGAGAGAGAAAATGGCACAATGGGAGGGGAGGGAAAGAGGAGACAAGATAAACAAGAACATGGCAAGAAGAGAAAAAAGAAAGGAGCGCCTCCCTGTTCATAAGAGCCGAGACCTCTCGTCTGAAATAGCAAATCAGGAAGCGCAGAGCATGCGTGTTGGACAGATAACCTTGGGGAGCTGGGAACAAGCAATGAGAATCACAGGAAGGGGAAGACAGTAATTCCAAAATAAGCAGAGGGTACTTCTGACTGCCCAATAGATGACAGGAAGACACCAAGAGGCCACACACACACACACCCCTAAGCACAGGGGCCAGGAGCTTCTGGGTACTTATTACAGAAACGCTATGGACTGCATTATCCCAATGCTGAAAGATGTTGGGAATACCATCTTAGAGTATGCGGCAGCAAAGGAGAAAGAAATAGAAATGGCACAAAAGCCCAGGAAGAGCAAAATGACAGAAGATGGAAGCCCCAGGACCACCGCACATGTTCCATTCCGGGGAGCTGTATATTAGATATGAGGGTTGACCCTAGCTTGTTCAGAAAATGGGTTAATCTTTCTCCCATTCATTTTCTCTGCCTCTCCTCTTGGCCTTCTCAGGCAAGTTCTCTCTTTTTTCTTTAAAGATTTATTTTTATTGTTTTTTTATTGGAAAGGCGGATATACAGAAAGGAGGAGAGACAGAGAAGAAGATCTTCCGTCCGATGATTCACTCCCCAAGTGAGCGCAACGGCCGATGCTATGCCGATCCGAAGCCAGGAGCCTCTTACAGGTCTCCCACGCGGGTGCAGGGTCCCAAAGCTTTGGGCTGTCCTCGACTGCTTTCCCGGGCCACAGATGGGGAGCTGGAAGGGAAGCAGGGCTGCCGGGGATAGAACCAGCGCCCATATGGGATCCCAGGAGTACAAGGCGAGGACCTTAACCACTGCGCCACCGCGCCGGGCCCAGGCCAGTTCTCTCTTAACATTCTCCAGGCCTCCAACACCAACGGGCTCCATGTCCCTGGATTCAACCAACCACAATGTTAGGAGGGGAGGGAACCTTCATCATCACTGCATTCATACAGACATTTTTAATCTCATCAATGCACAATGATAAGTGATACCCAAGTTTCCCAACCACTTATATAGCATTTATGTGTTCTAAGGCATTCAGAGATTATTTGAAGCATACATGAGGATACATGTAGGTTGTTTCCAAATACCATTATTAATTTATATAAAGGACTTGAGAATATGCATGTCTGTGGGGCTCCTGAGAACATGGTATCAGAGAGGAGAGTCTTCCCTCTGCCTTCCCACAGCCAGAACGTGCATTACCCTAAGGCTGTCCCTGTTTGATCCCTCACTTCCCTCCAACACTGTCCACTAAGACCCCTCTGCTGCCAGCTCAGCCCCATTCCTGTGGCTCCCACCTTGTCCCAGCTGGACACTGCATGTTGAAGACCAATATCTGTTAAAGAAGTCTACACCTGCACTCAGCAGCCTGAGGCCACATCACCCTGGTTAGCCCGCAGTGTGGCATAGAGGCACCCAGCTCCTACAGCCCCTGTCTTTCTACAGCTGACCTACACAGGGATGGTGTCTCCGTAGCAGCTTCTGACACCTGCTGCACCCTAACGAACCACAGCTGAGTGATGCTGAGTTGGTGACCTCCTTCTACAAGGTGAAGGTCTCAAGGCAGGCCTATTCCTTCTTAGTTCCCTGAAAATCAGGGGAGTCCTCTGAGAAGCATCAAGAAAGGATCTGACAGACTGAGTCATAAGTACAATAAAGGATTCTCATTGAAGAGGGGCCCAGGCAACATTTGATTGAAAAGTGCTACACACATCATGGCATCAGTGATTGGTAAGTGATCGCTGCCGTTCCCAGAGCAAAGTGAAGTCACCCCCTGGGACAGTGTCTGTGCCTGAGGCTTCCAAAGTCAAGCGTGAGCTGACTCTGCATTACACACGCCTCGCACACCCCTTTGGCAGAGCAAGTAGCACAATGACACTGGGGGAAGGCACAACACAGAACAAACCCAGATGGCTCACAGCCGTGCTTCCGAGCCTCTCTGTAGTAACCCAAGCCCTGAACATGCTCTGCCCTGGCACGGACATCCTTTCCCAGGCTTTACTCCTCTGTCGCCACGCCAACTTCCTCTGATCCTTACAGTCTCCTCCTGGTCCCACTGTCCTTACTCTGCCACATGCTGCTCCCTTGCCCCGGCAGTCCGCACCTGCAGCATCTGCCCTCCCTGTGCTGGCCTGGCCAGGTTTCTCCTGACCTGCAGACCCCAGCCTGGTCTCCCCTGACAGGTATCCCACATTCCTGGGCCAGGAGTTTGCCTGGGGCATGACCAGACAGACACGCCTCAGGGTGCAGCTGGTTCCTATAGTGAGTTCTGGGTGGGACCAAACCTCCTCCTTTTTCCATCCCTAGGGCTCGGCAACATCAATTCCAGACTTTCTGGGACTGGAAGAATTTGAACCGTCTCCCAAGCAAACAATAAATAGAATTTGGCTTTGGGCAGACTGTCCTCTAAACAGACTGTTTCTGCAGCAGGGGAAGAGGGCAGCGTCTGACAAGGAGCGGGGGTCCTTGGGTTCAATCCTGTCCCTCTCTAAACACAACACCAAAACCTCCAACACCACCCAACACCAACTCCATGGGCCCTTCCCATATAAAAGGTCTATTTTATGCCCAGGAGAAGGTTCGAGGAACTTGATCTAGTGACAGCAGGGTGTTGGAAAACTTTTCCTGAAAGTACCACACCCTTGAGGACTCAGCTGAGTCCTGGGCTCTCAGAAATCCCACTGGGATAAAGCACTCCCACTGGGAGGAGAGGAAAACTTGGATGGGTCTGGTCCAAGTACAAGTGGATGTTTCAGACTCCTATGCACTCCAGGGTCATGACTCTGGACGCCAGCATCCGGTAGCTCCTCTTCAGGACAGTGAAGTACTCTGTTAACTAAAAGTAAATGATTTTATGAGACCTGCCATATTTCGAGAGAGAGAGAGACTACAGAAGCAAGGAGTGATAAAAAGCAGCACACGTGTGAACACCTACTGGAGTCCCACGTGGGTCATGGGGTGCCAGGGACGGCCATCTGACTGCCTGCAATCTTCACTCTGGGGACACTGAGGATATTTGTGTTGGAGCGGCCCCTCCCTTCCCTGCTGAGGTTTGTGGTGAACGCAGCCAGGAAATGCCACAGCTCTTGCCACTGAAGTCACCCTCACCGCCCAGCCAGTGATGCTTCTGGGGGCAAGCAGAACGGCACTCCTTGAAACGCAGGCCATCATCTAAGAATCACCTCCATTCTTACACACAGAGAGATTTCTAGATGCACTCTCAGAGTTGCTGATGCGAAAGTTTGGAGACTTACCATTTTCAACCAGCTCTTTCTAAAGCTGCTTAAAGAAATGTGAGAAGCATAGTTGGGGATGTCAGAAATGCTATGCTTGGAGGAAGACTTGACTCAAATCCTAGGCATACTGTCTTGCAGCTGTGTGCCCTTGGGCAAAGTACTTGACCTTTCTGATTCTCTGTGTCCACTGAGCAAGAGGGAAGCACAGTCATAGCCACCACCATGTAGCTGCAAAGATTGGAGCCACGGTGGGCAGGTACAGGCATTCTCTATATTCACTGACGCTAGTCCAGGAGGGAGGCAAGACCAACCTTGACCCTTGTCTCTTAAGGCAACAAGTCTACCACTCCGAGATCAGGAGTGCGCATGGTGGAAGCTAGACATGGCAAATTCCCTCCCACTCAGAGACCCACCTCCACCCCTATTGCACAGGTGGAGCAAGGTGAAACGGGGAAGATGGGAGAGTGTTGGGAGAAGGTTGTGACCTGTGCCACCTGGGCGGAGCTCCATGATGCACCTACAGACAAAGGGGCTTTCTTGGGGTACAGAAGTACAGTAGTGGGCATGCTGACCAGGACCAGCCTGAGGATCCAAAACTCTGGAGGGAAGTATATGGCAAGGAAAAGTGAGAGAGGAGCAGCGAACCATCTGTCCAGCATATTGATGCTGACACCGTTGGTAAGCCCACCAAGGCCGCTATCCACCTGCCGGCAGGTTTCTAGGAGCAAACCAAACAAGTGCCCAAAGGACAGCAGGACGGTGCCCATGTCTGCGGCCTGTTCAGAGGTCTCAGAGGTCGCACCAGTGGACGGCTCCTGCTGGGAGCCTCCTTGCTGTTCTACGGGACCTGTGCCTTGGCACAGCACAACTTGTGGTGGATTCACTTAAGCAGCCCCCTAGCCCAACTGTTACCTAGGACTGTGTTGGCTACTAGATGTCCTGGCCCGTGGTGACCAAACACTTAAGCAAGACTTCAGGCACTGGAGAGATGGTACCTGGGCTTGAATTTGCTTCCCTCCCCTCCCCCCAGGCCTGGCAAGTTCTGGCTCAGGCCTTTGGAATGTCAACGTGACAACTGGGACGCGGATATCTCCATGTGCTCCAGGAAGGATGGGGTGAGGGGTGCAAGGGAAACTTGGCGGCCCCTTGCTGTCACCACCACCCAACCCCGCGCCCAGACATCCCTGCCCCTGCAACACTCACAAGTACCAAGTTTCAGGCCTCTTGGCTCACCTGCTGAAGACCAAGCAGCCCAGGTGGTTGATCTCGTGGTCGGAGCGGTGGCGGCTGTAGTCCTCCCAGAGGTCCTTGAAGGCCGTGACCGCCAGGATGAAGAGCACAGGCGCCAGCGCCAGGCCGGGCTGGAAGGCGTTCACCGCCGGCACGAAGTTGAGCAGCGCGATGAAGACGAAGTAGACGTTGGCCAGCCGGTGGAACTGCTCGAACAGGTTCTTGGGCAGGAAGGACAGCAGCGTGTATTTGGTGGTCTTGAGCCTGTTGTCAGCCAGGTGCTGGCCACACCCGCGCAGCCGCCGCCGCTCGCCCTTGGCCGCGCGCGCCGCGGAGTCCTCGGTACCCGGGGGTGGCAGCAGGTTGGAGCGCACCACGCGCGTCCGGCCCTCCCGGCGCCTCCGCCTCCGCCGTCGCGGCCGCCGCGGCCACGGGAGCTCCTCGGCCGCCGTCGGCTCGCGCTCCATGGCCGCGTGTCGCCGCGCCCGGCTCTCTCCGCCGCTCGCGCCAGCCTCCTAGGTGATCATCGCCGGCGGCCCGGGCGCGGCGGCGCGGGCTCCCCGCCTGCGGGACGCACGGAGAGCGCGGTCAGCGCCCCGCCCGTCCGGCCCGCGGCCAGCACCCCCCCACACCCCACCCGCCTAGGCCGCCCCGTCCGCAGTCCCGGCGGGGGCGCAGGCGGGGCCCCGGCTCCCGCCGCACGGAGTCCCCTTGTCCTGGCGCGCCCGCTGTCCCGCCGCTCCGGGGCCGCTTCCGCCGCGGTGGCTCCTTGAGCCCCGCCTTCGCCCCCGCGCCTGGCCAACTCCTGGCGGGAAACAGAAAGAGCCCGAACTGGAAACTTTAGAGAGCTTTCGTTTCCCAGAAGTAGCAGTGCGGCCCCAGAACGCTGCAGAGCAGGAGAAAAAGCGCCGCGCTCTTCCCCAAGCTAGCTCTGCCCCATCTCGGACAGAGAGCTGGTCTTGGGGCCAGAGTCAGGACCTTCCCGGGTAACCCAAGGGGCCCTGGGATATCAGACCTCCCGCTGTTCAATCTCTTTCCATCATTCCAGACCTCAGGGACATCCTGTCCGGGACAGAGCCTCCTGGTCGTTACCCCTTTGCCCAGCTGCCAGGAAACACCTGGAATGTAGTGTTGAAGTGAAGAAGACCTTCTCTCTGTGTCTCTCACTGTCTTGTCTTATTTCATCCCTTTACAACCACCAGAACATTCTACTGTAGCAAAGGCCGGGTTCGCTTTTGCGGGTGTTGGGCCCTTTTTCTCTCCCTGGTGCACCCCTAGAACCTTCTGCCGCTCTTGGGGCAGCAGTCATAGCCCAGAGTGGGAAGGCTTGAGGTTGGCTGCAAAGAGCAGAGGAGAAACAGTGAAGAGGTCCCGAGGTCTGGGACCGAGGGAATCCCTCCTTGGTTATGGAGCAGCTGAGAGCGGAGCTGTGGAAGACAGGCCATGTACGAGGCATGGGCGAGTGCCCAGAGCTGCAGCACACCCTGAAAGAGGACTTGCTTGCCCATGATCCTTCCATCTGCAGGCAAGGGAAGGTGGCTTTCCTGCCTAGAAGGCCATGGCTTCAGGACTGGGTGCACGAGAGGCACACTGTCCTGTTCTCTGTGTCTAAGTTGGAGTGCTGTTGGTCCTTTCCTTCTTCAGGTCAGTCCCTCATCTCTCTCCTTGCATCGAAAGTTCTGTCATCTCCCAAAAGACCACCTCCGTGGAGTCTGTTGGCGCTGGATCCTTGCTGGAGCTTGCTCAGATCGCCTCTTCCCTGCCACCTGCCTGTATCTCTGCATGTCCTCTTCTCCTGTATCCTGCCATACAGTCGCCCCCCCCCCCCCAGCTATGCCAGGGTCTTCACCCACAGCCTTGCTACAGTGCACACTATTTGCCTGTGACCTGCAGCAGGGGGAAAGTGGAGTGGCAAATAATGAGGAAATCACCTGTGGTATGGATCCACACTGTGTCCCCCGACCCTATAGGTCGTATGTTATACTGAGAACTGATGGTCACCGTCAGAGAAAGGGTTAGCTGGAGCACTTGCCTTTTCAGGGATAGAAATCAGATCTGACAATAAACTAAGGGCATTCCAAACTGAATGCTAAGATGAGTGAGTGCTCACAGCTGCCCAGGTGGCCAGCACTAACCCCTGTGGCTCCACCCTGTCTTCCCTCCTCCAACCCCAAGAAGCCTTAAGGATGGAGGGTTCCCTCATTTCCACAGCCACCAGATCCATCCCCAGGGTGACCTCAAAGCTCTTGTGCGCATCTCCCTGTCTCCCAGGATCCTAGCTCTAGCAGGTAAAACATGTTGCCAGATTAACTGCTTGATCTTTCCTTACCCTGGTGCTTCCAGGAGTCCCCCGTTGCTTACTAGGTCAAATGCTGACTCTTCAAGCAGAGGTCCTTTGAAGCCCTGGGGGAACTGGCACCAACTTGCTGATTTAACTCTGCCCTTCTTAGTGCCAGCCCAACCCCAGGGCAAGAGGTCTCCTTACCCTTCTCAGAACAGGCCTTGCTCATCTCTTCAACATTCCACTCTGAGGTTCCAAGATTCTGTGAGTCACATTGCTTCTAAAGTCTGGAATCTTTCCCCTCCTACTCTCCACCAATCCAGATTCAGTGTTTCCCATGGGGTCCAAGATCATCTCCCCTCCTCAAAGGGCTTCACACTGAGTGCTGGGTAAGCTGTCAGCTCTTGTTGGGTTTAGGGTTGTAGTGACTTCTGTCACAGAAGGTCCTGGATTCTTGATTGCCTGGGCTGACCTGGATGGCCACCTGGTCCACTATGTTCTAAGACTGGCCAGGATGCTGGGCACCAGGCAAATCACTTTGATTATCCTTATTCAGCATCTGCCACTGCTCTGGGTACTGGGAATACAATGGAGAATTGTGAAGGATGACTGAAAATCCCACAAGCTGACGTTCCAGTAGGAACAAGAACCCACAAGACCCTGTTGAGAGTGCAGCCCAGTAGGGCCATGGGATAGATGATGGGGGAGCAGCGTGCTCTTCAACAAGGGAGACAGGAGTCAAACCTAAGGTGGAAGGCAGGTGGGATGGAAGAACCTTTTCAACAGAGGGAGCAGCTCTGTAACAGGAGACAGGTAAGGTCTGCGCCCAGCAAACATTCATGAATGTTTTCTCTAACCTGACCTCACACAATTAGTGAAGATTTGAGACACACTCCCTACTTCATGCTGCACAATGCCAAGTGCCTGTGTAGGATTCCTGACAGGCACACAGGAGATGGAGGGTCATAGGCAACAGATAACCTCACAGCTAGCAACACTCACCTTGGGACTGAATACGGGCTGTGAAAAGAGGGCAGCTGAGAAAGGCTGAGCAGCTGAGAAAGACTGAGCAGTTGAAGACTCAAGTGGTCATCTATTGAAATAGGAAACAGTGGTCATCTATTGAAATAGGACTGGGCAGACTGGAGATTTTTACCACTCCTCCTAAGAGTGGGAGCATGCTTCTCATGTCAGAGCAGAGATTCAAATGTAGGTGTCCATTGGAGATCGGGAGCAGATGTGGGTTGAGGAGAAAGTAGTGGGCAGGTGGCCAGTGAGCAGGGATGCTCTGGTGTTTTGGAAAGTTAAAGACTTTGGATCTGCTCCAATAGACCAGGACACCTTAGACTGCACCAGAGGGATAAGAGGAGAATTTCTGATCGTCCTACTAAATAGGAGGTGAATTCTAAGCGTAGCAACAGGAGAGGAGGTGAATTGAGAGGTACCTTGGATCCAGCAGTAGATGGGCAAGTATGGATGAATTACGAGTACAGTCCCCCAAGTCGCCAGGTTTCACTTCCTGGCATTCTGCATCCTCAAGCCCACCGACCTTAACTAAAATACATTTGAGGAGGGGGGAAACAACTTCTTTGGTGCCAGACATGTCTAGGGCTTGTTTCCTTATTATTGTACCTGAAACAAGACAGTGTCACAACTACTTTCATAGCGTTAGAACTGCATATCATAGTATTAGCATTATAAATAATCTAATGATGCTGTAAAGCATACGAATATATGTAGATGTAAGATGCTGATGTATCCAGCGATTTTGATAACCAGAAGGTCCTAGAGACAGTTTTTCATGAACATCAGGGCATGACTGTGTCTTCCAGGTAAAGCCTACAGGATTGGCCCGTGCGTTGGATGTTTGTAAGAGGAAAACGATTGAAATCAGAGTGACACCAAGGTGTGGCTGTCTAGCTCAGCAGTGAAGATGCCCTCCTTCTTCATCAAAAGCTCTGGGTTCTATTCCTGGCTATAGCTCTTGACTCCAACTTCCTGCTAATATAGACCCTGGAAGACAGCAATGATGCTTCAAGTCATCACGTTCTAGACAACCACGTGGGAGTCCTGGGTTGTGATCTCAATTCTGGATTTGGCCTGTACAGGTAGTTAGCAAGTAAACCATCAGATGCCTGTCATTCTGCCTCTCAAACAACTCAATTAGAGAAAAATACCAAGAGTGACAACTAAGAGCTTAATCTAATGATGTGGGTAAGGACATTTTTGAAGAATACAAAATTTGGGATCAGGTAACAATGATGTGCCAATTCAGCCTGGGGCAGGGTGACAGTAAGCAAGGGGCAAGGGTGGGTATCAAAGTCTGGATACACAGCCTGAGTGGCATCAGGAGACGCATGACTCAGGGCTGAGTGATGGGAAGTTTGCACCTGCGATAGAAGTGCAGAGAGGAGACCATGGGTGTGACTCCCCCCACCCCCCCGAGAAGTGGAGTGAACTGGGGGAGACTGTCACCCAGATTGAGTCTAGATTTCCTGTCCCGAGAATCAGCCACTTTGATGTTTGAGGTTTGTCTTATACCTGCGAGTGACACTAGGGTCATAACTGACTGCATGTTAATATGGCAGCACTTGTGCGACATCGACTCTCGCAATTTGCCTCAGACAAAAGCAGGTGATTCTAAATATCGTGTGAAAAAAATAGATCAAGATAATTGATCTAATGAGCCAATAAGTCAAATCTATGATAATGTACTTAGTCTCAGAATATGAAATTCTGCCCAGATAAGGCAAGATTTTTATGTAAACTGGCTCCTGCTGCACATACGGTATCATTCCTCCAAACCAAATTCCATCACAGAAATAGATGATGTTATGCTGAAGCATAAATGTTTAGCTGTGCTGGGAAGATATCTTTACAAGATGGTTAAATATATGATTAAAGGTGGCCGTTGGGGAATAGTGATTAAGAAGCCAACCGGGATGTCCACATCCCACGTCAAAGTGATTGGGTTCATGTCCTAGATCTGCTTTCAGTCCTGTTTCCCTGCTAACAAGTAACACAGCTACTGAGAGCTGAAGCACTTGGTTGCCAACCCTCTCCCCTGCGGAAACTCAGACTGAGTGTCCAACTTTGGTTGATTCAGCTTTAGTTTTTGAGAAATATTTGGGGAAAGGCATCTATAGATGTCTTTCAAGTAAGTGGAAATAAAAATTTTTTTAAAAA